ACTTGTTACGATTGACAGCGCCCCACCTCTTACCTCCCTGCCTCCCTCACTTCTCCCCCCCCCGCACAGAACTCACAAAGCGCGTCTTTATGGACCACCTTGCTGCTATGCGTTCCCCGGAGTATGCACAACTTGTTCGTGCTGAGATGCAACGTGAGGAGGCGCGTCGTGATGCCCTGCAGGAGCGCGTCCGAACCCTGGAGGAGGCCATCCGTCGCATGCATGCGGAGGGCAGTTCCCTTCTGACGAACTTTACCAAGCGCGTAAGTCATCGGCCTTTCCTTTGTCCTATGCTCGCCCCTTGAACTTTCCTGTTTCGAGTTACACCGGACGCTCCAATGACCAGATCTACCACTCCTGGTGGAGGTGTCTGTTTTTCTGGCATTCGTTAACTGTAAAAGATCGATATGTATTCTATCCACACTCGTTTTTTGTCCCGCACTACGTCCGACTTTCATCTGTTCGTGTCTTCAGGAATGTTGGTTTCCTTTTCTTGTCTATCACATCCTGAAATAGATCGGTGTACAATTACGCATTATTATCCCAAAATTTTCAGCGAAAACGTCCTCCATCCAACATGTATAAAATATGACACAAAAACTACACAACACCGAGAAATCACAAGCAATATGTAATGGCCAAGGACTGCAGTTGTCGACATAGTTGAGAAATGATCATGAATATGTCACAAAGTGTAGGCCAAATTGAACTTCCTTCAAATCGGCGCTAGCGTCGTGCGCTGATGACCTCATTGTTGTAGTTCAAATAAACAATGAGCGGTAGAGCTTTCTTGTGAGGCCGCTTAATAGAAATAGGCTTTCTTTATTAACTAATAAGCCGCCGAATGGTCAAAGGGGTTACTCTTATGGTTTTCTTAGTCCATTTGTTTCTTTTATTAAGTAATAAGTTTGCTCTTTTGGTCTGCAGACCTACATTCCACCTATTGTGTTATTTAGGTATAACAGTTACAAGCGGCTTTAACTTATTTTCCACTCTGCACTTTCCGCGGGCTAATCACGCATTACCTGTACATTGGTCAAACCTTAAGTCTTTAACCACGAACTCTGTAAGACACTTGGGTGGCGGGAATTTATTTTTAGGCTGCCCCACAAGAAAGTCTTACCCAATAAGGGGATAAAAATCGCTTTTTAATCGGCGTACTCGGCCAACTGATGTGTATATATACAGTAGTTG